GATTGATTGATTGAGTTATCGATCACCGAAAAATAATTCTGAGAAATGAGTTTCCTTGAAATGGTGAGTAGTTAAGTGAAGGTGGAATGCTCTGATGGCTGATGAGAAGAGAATTGACCAGCAATGTTTGTCAGTGAATGGGTTCAGCTGTTATTCTCAATTCAAGTCCGATTAAATTATGAATGTCTGGTTTTCGCATAGAAATAATGAGAATCTGCTCGGTTTGACGATAATTTCTTTTGAGTTTTCATAACCAAATGGTAATAATTGATGATCACATAACCAAACGAATGTTGATAATCACTGTGTTCTCGTCCTCAGGGGATGATATTACCGTAATGTGAATATCAATCAGATTTTTCACATGACATATAAAGCATAATTGTCGAATGAAAAGAAAAAGGGAAATGAATTGAACACAAAATATTGGTTGTGGTGTATTCGATGAAAATATTAATCTGCGAATAATCAGTACCAAAATTTGTGCAATAAACGTTTTATAAGAAAGCAGCATTCCGTTATCAGTGGTTTAATTACTTCGATGGCATTGATCTGATGTCATCAATGAACACAGTCCATATTTCATTCTAATTAGAGTGCTTGAGTGGTGACCTTCATGTGAACGAATATGTCAAGTAAATTATTACATTTTGGTGTTGATTTTCGGTGAAAATGAAGTATTCTACTAGGATTTTAACAAGATCTCTGGATGTTTTTGAGTGGGTATCGTGCATATGAATTCAGAATCAACTGTGGACAAGGGATTTTGCATAATCGTGAATCTTATCGAATTGTGATATTTTAAGCACTTACGATTAAACAACTAATGGCTTCATGAATTGTTGAAACGTTGCTTTGCACATTTTGATGAAGTGGTAAATACAAGTAGAGATTAAGGCCAATAAAGATTAAGTAGGAGTATCATCGGTTATTTTCGGGTGTTGAGAGCATCATTCACATGATTTTGTTCCCAAATTCTCAACTTTCTTATTGAGATGCAAAAAATGTTTTTCCGTCGGTAAATATCACGATAACAAAAATACTTACGATAAGATTCGAATCAATTTCAGAACAAAATGGATCTGCCACCAGATAAGATGCGGGTTTTGAGGAATTATGAACTTTCGAAGAAGTGGGATCTTGTCTGTGATCAGGTTCTCTTTTATCTGTCGTCTCGTTTATGCCTCATTTAAGTCCTTGATCAGCCTAATCACCTGGTTCCGCTGCGGATACATTCCTGGAATTTTCGTTTCAGCGGAAAATGTACGCAGTCGCCGATCCATCCGTATATTTGGAGAAGCTGTCGGTTTATCTGGATAAGAAAGCATCAAAAAAGGTATTCATTATAGATGTTCATAAGTTGTCGTGAGAGTTACGATCGATTCAAAGCGATTTCATGCTGATATTGGCAAAATTCACTCGAGGATTGTTTTTGGGAACAATTTTAAAACTTTTCATAGATGCGATCATTCAGCGGGAAGCTCGGATGTGATGCTATCCTCTTTGATCGCATATTCACTTTCTCATTCGATCTCACGTGAATTATGGATGAGTTCATCTGAAGTTCAGTTTGAATTGAGTGAAAATGTTTCAAAGAATTTGACGATGACTCAGTGAATCGCTTCACAGTTTATCGGTCGTTCACCACCTGAAATGCTCGTTTTGGAAGATTTCATACGTTGTTGAATTTAGAAAAAGAAACTTCTTGGAGAAGAAACGTCGACTGCAATTTTGAAGCACATTGAGATATCACTTCGAACAAACAGCATCGAGTGAGTTTCTCGCATTTCAGCCAGTCTTATCTTTTCAACGTAATACCACTAATAACCGTCCGTCATATTTCGAAGCCAGGCAATNCAATAGTTCTATTTTCAGTTGGGTAAGGTCGTTCTTGAATGAAGCGAATAACGGTCTGCATATTCTTGTCGAATATCTCAGTCAGTTGCAACAAGCAGGTGGATGGGGAAGGTTGCTTGACATTTTTGATATTGTTGTCATCTCAAGATTTAATCACATTGTATGACCAAATATCAGTTATGCTTTTTTTGCTTTATATATTCGGTCGATGAAGGAAGATAGTGATGGTGGCAATTGGTCATATTATACTGTTGATAATCAAAGCAGTAGTTCTAAAAACGTTAAACGGAAAGTATTCATTCAGTACAACCGTAAACATGTCATGTGCTGAATATGGGAACGCATCGTCGAGTAGCGCAGTGCAAGGATCATCGTTATCACCGAGTGGACTGACATCGCAGAACGGTGGCAGTTTCGCTGACAATAGCACCTTGTCGTACTCGAGTGATGATCGCAGTATGAGTATTGCGAGCAGTGCTCAAGGTTTATTTCGTAAGGCCACAAATTCTGGCGTGAAGTCGAAGACGTTGAAGAATATGGGTGATCGAGATGATGACATCCACGTTTGCGTGAGCTGTTTGAGAGCGATCATGAACAACAAGGTTCTTTCTTTTCCGGATTTCGCTCACTTTCCGACCATTTGCAAGCATTCTTGAAAATATTTAATTTTCATTTTCAGAAAATTTGTCGATTCTGAGCGACCTGCTTGTAGTTTTAGTGAAATTGTACCATGTTAAAATCTGAATAAAAAAAAGTGTCATAAGTGAATTGAGTATAAACTGTAATTTGTCGATTTGAGTTGTGATTGGTGCTGCCTGGAAGTGTGCTTAAGCGTAGTGTAGTTATGAGTTCATTCATCTTTCGAGAAATTAAATTTCAGTACGGGTTCAACATGGTGTTCGGTGATTCACAAGCTATTTATTGCATTGCACGAAGTATACTACATCACAGCCTGAGGTAAGGGTCAGCGATAATTGCCAACATTTTGAATTATTTCAAGATTGTTTGGACATTATGTTTCCTTAA